GGCGGAGGGGTATCGCTTTATCTGGGAGAGGAGACGATGGTCCCCCCCCCACCTCAGTTTTCACCAAGCTGACGAGCTTCTGCCGTGAACGGCCAGGAGATGGAGTGGAAGGAGACCCCCAGGGGGCCGCTGACTCGACCCCCCCCGCCCCCCCCTCCCACCCCTTAATGAATGAGCGTGTTTTGTGCGCGTGGGGAATCCGGCCCGGCCTCCGGTGACCTGCCCGCCCGCTGTTATCCGATTCGGGATCTGTCGTGCCGGCCCCTGTGAGACCAGGAGAACTCCCACATGGGCGGACCGGGACACGATGTTACTGTTTGTTTGGCATTGAAAGTGCACTGCAGTGAACCTCTGCTTGATCTCAACGCTTTTACATATTCCTGTAAACTCGTGCATGTATTCTTTCTTCCTGGAAGGTGTGGTTTAAAGAGAGCGAGATATGTACACAGTAATGCTGCATAAAGGCAGAAGGGAAACGCCCCATTTTTGCAATATTTCTATGGAAGCGTCGAAGGGACGTCGCATGAAGTCTGTCGGTGTCTCCGTTGCACCGGGCTCACTCCCCCCCCCTGAGCAAGTCGGCTGGTCTGAGCGTGTGGACCAAAGCCAGCGGGTCACTCTATCCCCCGCAGGAAACCCCATCCTCAGGCCTCTGCAGAATGGCCCTTTTGTAGCGCTGACATGTGAGGGTTATTATTGAAAAGATTCCTTGTCCCGAGTCCTTCCTCTGGGGCCGAGCTCATTGCAAGTAATGCAACGTCTCACATTTAGCCACGTGGGTACGAACGTCTGCCGCTGTCCCAGCACATCGTGTATTTCCTCCCCTCTGGTGATCTTACTTGGCGTTTCAACGCCGCGCCGCATCCCTTATTCCTTTTGTGACCAACACACAAAACGCCGCGGGTTGTTTAGTAAAGGAAAGGGGACCCGTCTTGTCTCGTTTTTTTGCGCGTTGCCTGAACTAGTTTGCGTCTCCTTCACGACGCGCAGTGACTTTTACCTGCTTTGTGCAAAACAGTGAAAGCGCCTTTAACGCTGCTGTCTTCTCCCCCCCCCACTCCCGTTGTTCAGATGGATAAAGTTTGAGGAGAAGGTGGAGGCGGGCGGCGAGCGCTGGAGCAAGCCCCACGTGGCCACGCTGTCCCTGCACAGCTTGATGGAGCTGAAGACGTGCATCGAGAAGGGCTCCATCCTGCTGGACCTGGAGGCCTCCACGCTGCCGCAGGTTGTCGGTGAGTGGCGCTGACTGCAGAAAGTGTGTACACACACACACGCACACGCATGTATCTGTTGACGCTCGACGTTGATCTCCAACGCGTCCGCTCTGACAGAGCTGATCACCGACAGCCAGATCGAGGCGGGTCAGTTGAAGGCGGAGCTGAAGGAGAAGGTCACGTACACGCTGCTGCGGAGGCATCGCCACCAGACCAAGAAGTCCAACCTGCGCTCCCTCGCCGACATCGGCAAGAGCGTCTCCAGCGCGAGCAGGCTGTTTAGCAACCAGGAGAACGGTAATGCCCCCCCCACTCCCCCCCTCAGCTCCCTCACCCCATCACTGCCGATTTCTTCCTTTTTCTTAATCTTCTACTTGTCTTTTCTCTGCTCTCATTGTCCTGGTCTTCCTCCCTCCTTCCTTCCTTTTCCCCGTCTGTCTCTCTTGCCCCCCCCCCTCCCCCCCCGCGACGCAGCGCGCAACCCCGCCGAGCACGCCGTGCCTTGTTCACACGCGCTGCAGCCGGAGGACCCGTGTGAGGTCACCCGCAGCTCCAGCATGGGATACCTCTGTAAGTGAGGAGGCCGTGCAGGTCCACGGCCCGCAGTTTACATCCTCACCCGTTTGCCAGTAGCTGCCCCCCCCCCACCCCCCTCCCTCCCCCGAGCGAGTTACCGCCGATGCTCAGAAAGCAGGCGGCTCCCCTGGAGCACCTGGACGAAGGACCATCTGCCGTTAGTCAGCTTAACCCCTCGCCGCATTTAGCGCGCTCCTGAGCGCTCGGTACATCTCCCTTCTTCTTCTTCCTCCTTTCTGGGACTCGTCTTCCTCCTCTGCCAAGAATGTCTCCCGCCGCAGCTGTGCCTCTCCTCCTCCTCCTCCTCCTCCTCCTCGACCCCAACCGTGTTCTCACCTCTCTGCAGGTAGCCCCGCTACGTCCCACAGAAACCTCACCTCCAACAGCCTGAGCGACTTCTCCGACAAACCCGAGCGGGATCAGGTAATCCTCTCCTTTTGAATTGTTTGCGGAGAGACGTGCGACCATAACGGTTCCCCATTCACTGTGTGTGTGTGTGTGTGTGTGTGTGTGTGTGTGTGTGTGTGTGTGTGTGTGTGAGCCTCACGTCCTGAGCGATAAGACCCTGTGGCTCGGTGCAACAACAGCCTTCTGTGTCCCCTCTTTGTCCCGGGAGTTTCTGTGGGCCACACATGCAGTATCTCTCACCGCCGTGACTCACCCACCCAGTCGTAATTTGGCCGCGAGCTCTGTCGATGCACCACACGCGGACGAAAAGCCGGATTTAGGTCACTGAACGTGTCAAAATTGGCCGCAGTTAATCATCAGTTTGTTTGCGTTTCCTTTGGTGCGCGGCCGACGTTCTTTGTGTGCTCTGAATATCAGTTTGGTGCAACAATGAATGTGCATTTTCATACTGTGTTTACCAGGTGGCACAAAGTCAAGCTGCCCGTTCGCCACATAATTCCAGGAAGGGGCGGGCGCTACCTGAAACGCCACTCGTTGTCGCAATCGCTTCTTAATCGCCACGTTTCTCAAGAGTGCCGTGACCGGCGTCCTCCGCCCGGGGTGGGGGGGGGGGACGCCGGCGTTTCCTTTGTACTCACTGGTCTCCGCTCTGTCTCCGCCCCCTCCAGCTGAAGAACAAGTTCATGAAGAAGTTGCCCCGCGACGCGGAGGCGTCCAACGTGCTGATCGGCGAGGTGGACTTCCTGGAGACGCCCTTCGTGGCGTTCGTGCGTCTGCAGCAGGCCGTCATGCTGGGCGCTCTGACCGAGGTCCCCGTGCCCACGAGGTAGAGGTGGAGGCGCTCTTTCTCGATGTCGAGGGGGCCGGACTTTCCCGACGAGCCCTGAACGCCTCATCTTGTTGTCTCCTAGATTTCTCTTTGTCCTGCTGGGCCCCAAAGGTAAAGCCAAGTCCTACCACGAAATCGGACGAGCCATCGCCACCCTGATGTCCGACGAGGTACTTTAACGCGCCACCGTGCTACCGTACAAACCTGTTTTTGCACCAGAGGGAAAGTCAAGGAAACCATTGAACATGTGAATTGATGCTTTGCCAAAGTGTGCTGAGCTCCGTCTACCTCGCATCGCCCCACTTATCCCCTCCGAGGAATGTTAACAGACAACTTGTGACGTTCCCGACCCTGGGAGCACCTTGCCCCCCCCCCCCTTCTCATGTTACCACTGCAGGATAGGAGGAGCTTTTTCAGGATATCCTCAGCCCTTACAGCCCCCCCCTCCTCCACCAGCGGTGTCACAAGCTTATCAGATGTTTGCCCTTTTTTGGAGTCACCAGATAGTAGTGCGACGTGAAAGACTTCTTTGTGTTTGTCAATATTACATTTGGTTGCATTTGCATTTTTTTGCCCGCCGTCAGGTGTTCCACGACATCGCCTACAAAGCCAAGGACAGGCGGGACCTGCTGGCCGGGATCGAGGAGTTCCTGGACGAGGTCATCGTGCTGCCCCCCGGGGAGTGGGACCCCAACATCAGGATAGAGCCCCCCAAGTCTCTGCCCTCCTCGGACAAGAGGTCCGCCCTCGGCCGCCAGATGAATGAATGAATGAATGAATGAATCGGCTGCGCACGTCGCCTGGTTTGCTTTTACTCAGCAGGGTTATAAGGCGCATAATTATCGCAAGATTACAGATTAGAATGAGCCGCCCTGCTAAGCTGCTGTGAAGGTGGCTCAAGTGCAGACGAGTCGGACTGGACGTGTATTTAAATATTATTATATAATATATACTATATATAATATTATATATTTATAATATATTTAAATATTATCCTAATGGCAAAATGACCCAGCTGCATTCACATGCATTCATATTTACACCGAATCCTAAATGCTGTTAAATGTTTTCTTCTCTATAGGAAGAACATGTACGCCGGGGTGGAGGCCCCTCAGATGAACGGCGACACCCCCCACGATGCGGGAAGCGGCGGAGGCCACCAGGTCGGCGAGGAGCTTCAGCGCACTAGAAAGTAATTCACTCCGGCGCCGTGTGGTGTGGATGGTGTGGAGGAGAATCCCAATCGCGCTTGGAGCGCCGAGCCCCCCCCCCCGTGTGAGGCAGCGATTCAATCTCGACGACTTGTTTCCATCGTTGAAGTAAAAGTCATGACCTGGAAATAAGTTGCCAACGAGGAAACGCACACATGACTGCATTTGTTTGAGCGCTTCCCTATTGCGTAATATTTTGGAACCCCCCCCCTCCCCCCCGTCGTTTACTGTACGTTACTGCCTGCGCCTGCTGACTTGAGCGCCTTCGCCTCCCCCCTCAAGGTTTTGCGGAGGTCTCGTCCTGGATATCAAGAGGAAGCTGCCGTTCTTTGCCAGCGACTTCTGCGACGCGCTGCACATCCAGTCGCTGTCGGCCATCTTGTTCATCTACCTGGGCACGGTCACCAACGCCATCACGTTTGGAGGGCTGCTGGGCGACGCGACGGAAAACATGCAGGTGCGGTTCTGGGTCACGTGGTTTTTCGTCCTAACGTACGAGCACGGTTTCTTTCCTCAGGGGGGAAAAAACAAAAACCTCCCAACTGAAGAATCGAGCAAAGGCCCTGAATCGGAATATGTCTCTAAAGGTGTGTCACTGGATCTGTTTCGGGATGACGGAGCTGTCCTGTGTTAAGCCCCGCCTCCCCCCCCCCCCCTTAGCTGGTAAGCCACGCTAATTTTGAGCTCAAGGGCTCACGCTGCTCCCATCTGCTGTACCTGCTGCGTGTGGGACAGTTGGATAATGAACGTGAACTTCTGCATCCGTGTCGCGGTGGGGTTGTCCCTCCCCCCCCCTCCCTGTGCTCGAGGTCCCGCCTTGCAGATTTGCTGTAAATAACCACAGATCCAGATTAGCGCTGTAGCCTCGTCATGCCAGCGTCTCCAAGCCCCCCCTCCCCCCCCCCCTCAGTGTCCCACACACACCCACACACACACACAGGGGAGGGAATCCCCGCCCCCGCGGGTCCTCTGTGAGAATGAGCGGCTGACGCGGCCGAAATCAAACCGGCCCGTCCCGTCGGGGAGAAACGAAGCTTCCAGCCGTGTAAGCGCATGCCGACGAAATGATGCAGCGTGACGTCTTTCCGCGATTAATTGGCGGCGGCGCGAGGCCGTCCCGTCCCGTCTTATCTCTTCTGTGAAAACATGCTGCTTTAGCTGTGTGTGTGTGTGTGTGTGTGTGTGTGTTTCCATGTGTGCAGGGCGTGTTGGAGAGTTTCCTGGGCACGGCGCTGACGGGAACCGTGTTCTGCCTGCTGGCCGGTCAGCCCCTGACGATCCTCAGCAGCACGGGCCCGGTGCTCGTGTTTGAGAAGCTCCTTTACGGTTTCAGCAAGTGAGCGGCTCATCGGGCGCGCTTTGAAATGACAGGACGTCAGCCGAGGGGGGAAAAGGGTTGGAAAAACAGCGTTTCGGGCAGATTTATAGATCTGTCCTATCCTCGTGCCTCTTTATATTTCAAATAAATGCTGAATATTCTGATGGCAGCTTTGCTTCATCGTCCTGCCCGGAACGTTTTTGGCGCTTATTGTAAATCTGTTGCCGGCTGATTGTTAATTTGTAAGTGCTTCCTGCCCTGAATGGCCGCACACACCCTGGTGTAAAAACAGATGTAGGAGAAAACGTAACGAAGTGCATCCAACAGAATAAATAACCTTGAATGGTGGGAAAGCAGGAAATGTATCCAGTAACATTTAAGAAAGTAATATCTGCTCCTTTTATATCTTTAAATGCACAGATTAAACGTATTTTCCTCAATACCCGATGGCTATCGAAGGCCCTCCCACCCACACAAAGCCTCTTCTAGCATTACCAAACGCCACGCTGATTCCATTATTAATAATTCACTCTCATTTTGCACTGAGAGAAGACTTATCGAGGCCTCCGTGCCCACCCGATGTTTCCGTGCCGGCTGCTGCTGAGTCAGCGGCAGCTGTTGGTCCGTCTGCAGCTGCCGCGTCAGGAGACGCACAGCACAGGCGCATCCGTCTCCATTTAGGGAAAAGCTGCACGTGCTTTAAATAAAAGCCGTAGCTCTGCAGAACCCACCCGCGAGAAAGTCGGGTGGGTTCTGACCGCTCGGGTATAAAACATGACTTTTGACCCACGCGGCCGTCCTGTCCTCCTCAGGGACAACAGGCTGGACTACCTGGAGTTCCGCCTGTGGATCGGCCTGTGGTCGGCCGTGTTCTGCCTGGTGCTGGTCGCCACGGACGCCAGCTTCCTGGTGCAGTACTTCACGCGGTTCACCGAGGAGGGCTTCTCGGCGCTCATCAGCTTCATCTTCATCTACGACGCGTTCAAGAAGATGCTGAAGCTCTCCCATCACAACCCCATCAACCCCAACTACAGCGCCGACCTGGTCACCCTCTACCGCTACGACTGCAACTGCGCGCCCGGTAAGACCTCGCGCTCCAATCCCATTTGGACGGTGGAGATTCCGCTGTGGACGCTGTCTGCGTTCACATCTGTTTCTCTGGGATTGATGTTGTTCTCGTTGCCAGGCAACTCATCGGAACCGTACGGCGTCTACCCGTGGTCCAACGACACCGACGTGGTACGTCGTTTTGAGACATTCTTAGCAGCGACGCTGCCGCTTCCCCGCACACAAAATTAAAAAGAGGAGCCCGTTTGTCCCCGTCTGTCCAGGCCGAGAACGCCACCTGGGCGTCCCTGACCAAGCACCAGTGTCTCCACTACGGCGGCGAGCTGCTGGGAGAGGCCTGTGGCTTCGTGCCCGACATCACCCTGATGTCCTTCATCTTGTTCTTCGGGACCTACACCTGCTCCATGACGCTGAAGACGTTCAAGACGAGCCGCTTCTTCCCCACCACGGTGAGCGGTGGATGTGGACTCCTAGTGTGGGTGGGGGGGCGTGTTAGCGGTGTGACGGTGTACGGACTACGTCACCCACAAGGCGGCCTTTTGTGTGGCCGTTACCCACCTTCAAGAAGCAAAATGAAAGTATTATTTGATAGGGGTTAGATTTTTTGATTTCTCTCTAGAACGATTCGGTCTCGATTCAGAAAAGTTTAAAAAAAGGTCTGTCTTCTCGCGCGAGATATTTGCTCGCTCGCGGAGCGTGAACTTCCTCGCTCGTGAGGTTAGTCTCTGCTCGCGCTCGAAGGGGTTTTCTACGCGCTCGCTGTTTCTCTTTTTGACAGTGAGGGGGCGGAGCCAGTCACCATGGTCTCTACACCTGATTGGTTACAAACCCCGTCTTTGGATTGGCTGGAGTGATGCATCCACACAGCTATAGAAGCACATTTCCGGACTACAGAAAGGGGATAGAAAGTCGAAATTATGAGATAAAACGTTGTCAAAAAACAAACGCCCCCCTTCGGTAATTGTAGTGAACCGTAGATGACAACCAGCTACAACCGTCATTTACCATCATTACCGGCACATTAAGAGCACTCCATCCAGCTCGCAGACCGGTCCGTCAGTCTGAATCTGAATATCTAATAACTTTATTGAACTATGGAGGAACCTGCGCATATCTTACCTCATTATTTCCATTTTCCAAAAAGTCGATCTGTATTGAAAGTTGGCAAGATATTCACAGATTTGGACTTTTTTCCGGTATTTGACAAATACGGACCGGTCTGAGACGAAGAGCAGCTTTTTCTTTATTTCTTTATTGAATCTGTTTAATATTTATTTTACATAAGCTACTTCCATATTGTGTTGAAATGCAAGCTGCATTGGTTCATTGTTGATAGAAAATTAGAGAAGGTAATTCATCTGTTGATTTTCTTTAATTATCAAATAAAGTAGGAAGTGATTAGCAACCTCTGAGTAGCAAACTCAGATTTGAGAAAATTTTGAAATATTGAGATGCATCGATAATCGGTTTAGAATCGTTGACCTCTGAATCGGAATCGAATCGTGAGGTGAGAAGAGATTCCCACCCCTATTATTTGAATCCAGTTTGCATTCTTTTTCATCCATCAGCTCCGGTTGGTTTATCTTCAAACGCGTAGTATAACGGGGTGAAGGTCTTAAGAACAGAAAAGCTCATACTACGATTAAATAAACCAACCTCCGAAGCCCTGAGACCTGCTGTAAATGTTTCCTGCTTCCAGGTGAGGAAGCTCATCAGTGACTTTGCCATCATCTTGACCATCCTGCTCTTCTGCGGCGTGGACGCCTACGTCGGCGTGGACACGCCGAAGCTCATCGTGCCGAGGGAATTCAAGGTGCGTGGAGGAGCCGTTTCGTACCCGAGGGCCTCCTGGAGTCTGTGGAATCCCCGCACTCCTCCCCCCCGGGAGGCCCTCGCCAGCGATCTGCGGTGAAACTTAAGGCGAGCTCCGTTTCGGATGTCGCGGCGCCTCAAATGCTCCTCGGGCGGCTTCCAGGCCGCCCCGGCTTGACGGCGTGGTCGGCGGGTGATGCGAGGACACAGCCGGCTTTGTTGGGCCGCGGCCTCGATTTCCGTCATGCAACAACGCACCAGTGATTTCTTCAGCCACTTCCGCGATGACACTCGAGAAGATTATTAGATTAAAAAGATTATTTTACAAACCTGGAATTAGTTTGTTTCCGTCGCTTTAACCTCCCCGGCCTTCTGTCCACAGCCCACGAGTCCACACAGGAGCTGGTTCATTCCCCCGTTCGGCGGCAACCCTTGGTGGGTGTACCTGGCGGCCACCATCCCGGCTCTGCTGGTCACCATTCTGATCTTTATGGACCAGCAGATCACCGCCGTCATCGTCAACAGGAAGGAGCACAAACTCAAGGTTGGTGCCCGGCCGCAAAGATTTGTTGGGTTTGATGAAATGAATGAAAAAGGTGAGGTTGTCAAATATCACATTTACTACAAATTGTACTGGGCACAAACTCCGTTCTGACAACTCTCCCTTTTTCCCCCATTTTTGATGCACACGCACGCTTTCACAACACAAATGTGCAATCTTGCACATTTTGGCCCCTTCGCTCCGTCGCCCGGCGGCTCCGGAGGTTCAAAGAGTCCAGCTCCTCAAATAACGCGAGCTCACTTATTGGAGGGAGTCTTTTCCCCCTCGTCTCGGGTGCAGCAATGCTGTTGCATCAGAGCGTAATTAGCCAACAAGGTATCACCTGTGCTTCTCCCACGAGCCCCTCCCTCCTCGCCCCTGAGCCCCTGAACGCCACGTTGTGGAATGTGAACTCGTTTCTGTTGAAGCTCATTTCTCGTCCAGAAACGATGACCTCTGCGACCTTAAGGGTGGCGGAGAGCGAGGTGGAGGATTGTGGTAAACGAGTGTGGCTTATGACCCGTCATTAGCTGGTTGGATCAGATCCCTGAAACTGTTTTAGGACAACAGCGTTGAGCCCCCTAAAGCCCGGAGGAATGCTCTCTTGTTGCGTGTACTTTGGTTCGCTGTGAGAATCTCGCTCTCCTCAGAAAGGCGCGGGCTATCACCTGGATCTGTTCCTGGTGGCCGTGCTGATGATCATCTGCTCCTTCATGGGCCTGCCGTGGTACGTGGCCGCCACCGTCATCTCCATCGCCCACATCGACTCGCTGAAAATGGAGACCCAGACGTCGGCGCCCGGGGAGATGCCCAAATTCCTGGGCGTCAGGTGAGCGTTCAGAATGTACAGACGCCTTATTTCCTCCTGCGGGAAGCCGAGGACGGAGAGTACCAGAAGAATGCGCCGCGGGCCGGGAAATGGGGAGTGGTTGGGACATTCAGCCCATTACTGTTTTTTTTTTAATTGCGTGTTTTTCTTCTTTTCTTCTGTCACCGATCCAGAGAGCAAAGGGTCACCGGTATCTTCGTGTTCCTGCTGACGGGGCTCTCCGTCTTCATGGCCCCCATCCTCAAGGTACTGCCCGGACCTCTTAATTCTTCCCCGAAAACGAGGATTACTGTCCGCTTCTTTCAGGACAAACGACTGTCCGAGCCCTTTCAAATTCATAACACTCTCAAGTCCTCTTTTCATCCCATTAGGGACTTTCTTGGTTGAAGTCATTTGATGTGAAATAAGCGCGCTCATCCGGGATTATAGTCCATTTGCAGCCGAACGCTCTTATCAAGTTTCCATTCCCACGTGAAGCTGCCAAAAAAAAACCCAAAGTGAAGTTATTGATATTTGGGCTCGGTGCTCCCTCTTGTGGACATTTTGGGTGTTGCACTTGTGATCCTGTGAATCCACGTTCCTCGTCCAGGGGTCATTTATTTATCGTGGTGACGTGAATTTGGAAAAGATGCGAACATCTCCCGGGTTGACTGGCACCTTGTCTGATATTAGCTTACGGCTGCAAAGCTTTATGGGTAATGCTGTCAAAGCAGCTGCCAAACCCCGCACTTAATGGCAGCTAAGTGCCCCGTCACACCGCTGAGTCGTCCACTAAAATAACCTTCCAGGTAAAGCCGCTTGTGGGCTCCTTTCCAAATCGAGCTGTGACGCAACCGATAAACGGCCCTTAACGTTTCCCGCGACTGGAATGCGTCGTCGCCCTAAAGTAACGTAACTCGAGCCAGTCGCACGCTCCGGATCGATGACCTGCGTCCTTGTGCCCTCCAGTTCATCCCCATGCCGGTGCTCTACGGCGTCTTCCTCTACATGGGCGTGGCGTCGCTCAACGGCGTGCAGGTGAGTGAGCGCGTCTCATTTCACCGATTTGGGGGAAGCGATGGCAGTTCTGAACAGACTGCCGGAACGGGTTCAGCGAGCCGCCGGCGTGCGGTTGGGGGGGGGGGTGTTGGGTTAGGCTGATGGCTCGAGTGACACCCGTTGAACGCTTGTTGCAGAAACGAAAGCGATTAGCGGGCGCGTGTGACTCGCGCTCGTCCACCGCCGTGACCCCGCCGTGACCCCCGCCCCGCTTTGTGTCTTTTGGCTCTGTGGTCAGTTCATGGACCGGCTGCAGCTGCTCCTGATGCCCGCCAAGCACCAGCCGGACCTGATCTACCTGCGCCACGTGCCGCAGAGACGCATCCACCTCTTCACCTTCATCCAGGCACTGTGCCTGGCCTTCCTCTGGATCCTCAAGTCCACCGTGGCGGCCATCGTCTTCCCCGTCATGGTGAGGAGCGGTGGCGGCGTAGAGCTCGATCCGGGCGGAAAAAAAACAATCAGCCAATCACTGTTTCTCCCCCCGCAGATCCTGGCGTTGGTCGCCGTCCGCAAGGCGATGGACTACGTGTTCTCCCAGCACGACCTCAGCTACCTGGACGACGTCATCCCGGAGAAGGACAAGAAGAAGAAGGAGGACGAGAAGAAAAAGAAGAGCAAGAAGAAGGGGAGCATAGACAGCGAGATCGAATTTGTGAGTTCGTTCAACTTGAGCACTTAAAACCCGTCGCTGTCACGTGGTCGTCCGCAAGTGTTAACCTTCTCCCTCCGTCCTCCCACAGTCCGACTACCCCTACAATGAAAATATACCCAGTATAAAAATCTCTATGGATTTGATGGAGCAGGAGCCCATGTTGGGCGATAAATCTGTGGATAGTGAGTACGAGCCCGGGATCGCTTTGCTTCTAAAGGCTTAATGCGCAGATTTCTCTGCTTTCAAACTTGCAGTCGCTAACGAATGTGATGCCGTAACACAAAAAAAAAAAAAAGACTAAAACCCGCTTGCCTCCACTTTTTTTCCTCGTGCTTTCTGCTGACCCGCTTGGCTCTTCCGTGCTCAAAGGAACGTGCTTTTAAAGGTTCTTTTGTCCCCCGCAGGAGATCCATCCGCGGCTTTCCTTAACCCGCATTCGACGTGCTGAGCACTACTTTGAGTCCCCCACTGTGGCCGAGTGAGTGAGTACCGGCCGGCGTTTGCCTGCCGTCGTTTCTCTGGAGGCAAAGTGCATTCCTGCTTCACGGCGTTTGGTTTTTATTTTTATTTTTTTCTGCTCTCGTGCAGCGTTCCCTAATTGCTGCTTTCTTCTGTCGCCCTCTTTCAGTCTCGAGAGGAGTTCGTACACAAAAGCTCTGCCTCAGATTCGAGTGGGCAGGAACTCTGAAGACCAGGCTTTCTTCTGGAGGAAGGGCTCCGAAACCGATCTGTGAATGAATTATCCAAAGCAGCGGACGGCGGAACAACCCCGTTTTTGTGCTATTGTACCAAATTATGTTTTTTTTAAAATATATATAATTATATAATTATATTTTATTATAATAAAATATAACATTTATTATAATATAATATATATATATATATATATATATATATTATTATATTTTATTATAATAAAATATAATTTATTATAATATATAAAAATATAATATATATATATTTTTTTAATATACTATTATTCCTCCATGTGATTTAAATCCGAAGGGCTGGAAGTATTTGTCTTGAATTTGAAACACTTGGTTGGTACTTTTAAATGTCTTCTTCATCCTCGTGAGTCCCAGCAGAAAACCAAAGGGCTCCTCAAGGTCATGAGACAATAATATCTAACGAACGCGTACGTCAACAAGCGCACGCCAAAGTATTTTATCTCAAACTGTTTTCCTTTTCTTTCTCTTTAATCCATTTGACACCAAACCAAAGCAGACTCTCCTCTTGTACAGCTGCTCTCAGCGGAGTTCAAATCTAAAGAGTAAAACACGGCGGAGGAGACGCATTCAAATCCTCCTCCACGTTCAGCAAACCAAAGGGCTACAGGAGATTCATGTAGTATTTATGGGCATATCGATTATTTATAAAGTACCTGCATGTTGATCAAACTCATCCACGAGGTCACGGAAGGTCAGGTGGGTTTTCAGCGGAAACGGTTGACCGTCACGCAGACGGGAACTTCGGTTTCTGTCTAGTTTCCCATATGTTTCCCGCCTTTTTCTCTATTTATTGTATTTAAACTCTGGGCAGATGAGCTGCTCGACCCTAAAGTATGACTTTACCAAAGACCCCCCCCCCCCCCCGCCCCAGGTGTGGAAATCTGAAGGTCTTCTTTGTGTAGTCCGTATCCACAGGAGATATAGACGTATTCTACCTTTTATGTAGCGCTACCTCTTATATTTCTGTAGGCGCCAGGCATTTTATATATATATATATATATATATATATATATAACATCTGTCGTGCAATTAATGGTGATCAAACACTGATTTTATTCTGGGGGGGGGGTCTCTGGATCTTCTCCTTGGGTTCCTGCTCTGTGACACTTAAGATATTGTATTTTTCTTTGTCAAGATGAAAAGATTATGTATGTATTTGCCATGTTTTTAAAGGGTTATTCCACCAGAATTGTATTTCTCATCCCAAAAACAAGATGCGTTTTTTTTCTTTCTGTTTGATGATTTCCGTGCTGACGTTGGGTAGAAGACGATTGCCTGGAACATTCTCACGCACTCGACTGTGAACTTAAACCCGAAACGGCTTGAGATGGATTTTGCTTTTTGAATCGTGATCATATTCAAACTGTGATACATTTTTAAATCTTTGAGTACATTTTGTTTTTAAAGTGTTCGTATTTTATGCAAATCAACGATTGGAGGGAAGTTCTGCTTCAAAGCTCCCGGGGTGAAAGTCAACAGCTTCACCGGCTCATGTATCCTCATCAGAATCCCATTTAGTGTCTTAAATGTCCTCGTTCAAATTGTTTGATCATGTGTGTACTGCTTATCGAGTTCTGATTCCGGATATTAACACTTATTTAAATGTGTGATCCGTCTCAATCGCTTGAAATACTGACGAAAAGGAACCTGCGCAATAAGACCTTTTGATTCATGCGTTCACAATCACACGGATGATCCAGATGTGGAGCACCTGACTGTTACAGCTGCTTTGATACAGACATCACAAAGCGGGTCTTCCTCGCTCATCTGGACTTCTTGGATCCGATTCCACAATTTAATACAACGTTTTTTGAACAAACCATCGTACGTGCTGCATAACCAACAGTTACTCCCAAAGCTGTCCGTCTCTTTTTTTATCGAGTCGTGTTTTGAATGAGCACAATAAACGTTCAGATGATTCTTACACGTGTCGTCGTTTCTCTTATTTCTTTACCGAAAGAGCAACAATCTGCACAGAGCAATTCTTTAAGGATTAGTTAACATTTGGGGTTGTTGATCTGTTTGGTCCTTTTTTACTAATGATTCATCCTTAAAGGACGGTAACCAATAAACAAATGCGTCCTCATCGGTCCGAGGGTTTATAAAACGTACTTAAAACCCTTTTACGGTGCAATTGTTCACAACCAGCCGGCCGCAGAGGGATTCCGTGTCCTGTTGGAACGTGTGCTTTGCCTGGCTGGACTTTGTGCGCGGTTGTCGCTCTGCAAAGAGAGCAGCGTCACTAACCTCAGATCAGGTGTGCTGACTGGAAGTCCACACAGGTGGGGTTAATCCGGCTGATTAGACCTCGGGGGCCGCGCGCGCGTGCACTAAAGAGTGGAACCTTCCAGAGGCTTCGTTGAATCAGCTGGGGGGGGGGGGGAAAGCCCACTTGTGTCTTTGTTTTTGGTGGACTGATAGTTACAGGTTCCAATCAAAGCTCTGACCCGCCTTCCACTCGAGAGGTTTAATCAGCCAGAATAATTTAATGCAATTATCCAGACTGTAAAAAAAAAGAGAACTTGATTTATTTTACCTTATTAATTTGTTATGTCTTCAAAAATCATGGAATTTTAGAGTGCGTCAAAATCTGCTAAAACGGGGGTCTTCGGCGTTTTTCAGGCCAAGGACCCCCAAACTGATGGCGAGATGGAGCAGGGACCCCCTATTCTACAGAGTTTCGTCCGCCATCTTTTATTTTCGAGCTTTGCGCTTTTACGTGAGCGTGAACGTGATCTGATTGGCTGGTGCCTCTGATGTCGTATCAGCATGAAAGCTGCTGTGGACTGAAAGATGACGTCTTCTCCATTAATTTATCCGTTCGCTACAATATGTTGGATTTATGTTAATGTGTAACAATAAAGAAGACAATAAATACAATTCTGAAGACATTTAAATTTGTGGAAAAAATGGTATTTCTATGGTATTTCTTTCATTTTCTATATACATATTTCTACATTACAGTTCTTTAAAATAAATATAATAAATTTACTGTCGCAAATACTTAAGCGCATTATGATTTTTGATTAAAACAGTAAATACTGATTGACCTCATTTTTTTTTTTTGTCTTATCAACCAAAAATTTCGCGACCCCCCCATGCAGTGCCTTCGCGGACCCCCTGTTGAATTTTGAACTTTGCATCCCCCACATTTCTGTTGCAGTAATGTTAAAGAATACATCAAAATAATGGCTGGAGTTAAACAAAAGCAGGCGCGTGGGCCGTCTGGAGGGCGTTTTCCTTTGCAGGAATGATTGTGTTGCTTTTCTGAGGTAACGAATATCAGGTGAAACGATTCTTAGTGAAAGAGATTTGACCACGTGGAATCTAATTAAGTCTGGAGAAAAGAACCAATTCATACCAAGTGTATGAATTGGTTCTTTTCTCATCAGCTTCTTCCTGCAACTGCACTCGATAAACCTGCACCTGCTGGCTTAAGATGCACACAGACACACACACACGCACAGACACGCACAGCCTGTACATCCCATGACTGAGCTTCTTAACAACCCCCTGGGATTGTCTGCCCGCACTCTGCAGATTGTGTCATTTCTCAGATGTCGGGAGCAATTAGTGTGTTTTCCCTCCGGATGTTCCACGAGAACATGTCAGAGTTTTCTTTTTCTAAATTAAATGTGTATTCCAGTCAAAGCAATTGCACAGATGCTATTAGCTGCAGCTATATTCGGTCGCCGTCTGACACTTATTCCACAAGACGCGGAGGTTTGTGTCTCCGAATTAATGACTCTCTTTTCTCATGCAGGGACGTATGAACAGAAAAGTCTTTTTGGATGAATTCATGACGACTTTTCTATCACACAGTGTCTATTTGTCACAGATCGCTGAAATGTGTAACAATAAGAACAAAAATAAAGCCTGTAATCATTGTTTTATTGAAGCTCAGAGGTTGTGTTGTTATTTTCATTTTGAGTTGTTGGTCAGTGAGCGTGACGTTGTCACTGTAATTGTAACACTGATTTGACCGTTTAATGTAAATGTGATGCAGGTTTTACACGTCGCTCTCATGTCCGAGTCCCTTTTAAATAAAAGCACGAGGTACGGAGGCACGTTTCTGCCCCAAAGTGGGGCTGAAGTGGTTCTCACGCTTACAACGATCATCAATTAAAGCTACCGCAAGATGACATTACTGAGATATTATTGTGAGTGTTTGGTCATGTCTGCATTTGACCTTTAACATCTTGATGATGTCAGCCAGCGTCTTAAACACGACTCAAAATCCGGTTATCATCAGCTGAAATGTGCGTGTTAATGTGTGAGACGTGTGCATCTTTTGGGCAGCTCGGAGGGATAAGCGCATGAAGGTTGTGAACATCCCTTCCTCTATACGTGAGGCTGACTCCTGCGCGTCTCCCATCATCTGTAATGCAGGTTTGCGAGTAAAGCGGAGACCTCGTCCCGGTGTGCTGCTCGCATTGTCGGGGACAGCATTGATGCACACGTGCACACGCAGACCGTCAACCGCTCCAGAGATGCACTCGGCTGCGCCGACCCCTGCGTCAGTGCATCACCTCCGTGGTGCCTCAGCTCCTCCCAGTCTCCTGTGAGCACCGGAGTCTGCAGACGGAGCACATGCGCAGGGTCTCACGTGGGGATGAGAGCGTGCAGCTTCGCGCTCTGAATGCATGGAGTTTGTGGACACGTCGTCCAGAAAGAAGAGAGGAATACGACTCGGATACGAGGTAAGACAACGAGGGCGTCTTGTAGAATGAATTGGGAAAGGAGGTTTGGTTTAAATTATTTACTTCTGGAGGAAACTTTCCCCTTCACTTTTGCGTCTATTCTCCTCCCAAGTGCTTTGCTGATTAATTTTGCTTATTCAGTGTGATGATATTAAGTTGTCTGGCTTTCAGTTACAAGACGTAAAGACTGAAGAAAAAGCCCCTCAGATGTGTAGAAGTAAAAGGACCTTAAATAACTAAGAGTGATAGAAGATATTTACCTGTATCGCAAATCGAATCTCAGTTTAACAGCAATTATTTTTGGGTGTAATTATGGAATCAAGCTTGAGACAAGAGCAAAGGGTCTCAAGCGAAACCACTTATTCTTCTCTCCCAAGTGCTGCTGATCGTCAGACCCTGAGAGCTTGGGTTGTGGGTGGGTGGCTGCTGCATTACGTTCGGCTCCCGTGTTGCATTATAACGAGCCGCACACGTATGATGAAAGATCTGTTTGTGCGGCTGTAATCAAATACTCTCCATAACTCGGATTATCCTTTTTTTTTTTTAAACTGCTGGGTTGCAGCGAATCTTACAATGGCACACAGCATATTTATTTATATAGTATGCTGGACATAAATGGTATTTCTATGGTATTTCTTTCACTTTCTATATACATATTTCTACATTACAGTTCTTTAAAACAAATGTAAGAAATTTACTGTCGCAAATACTTAAGCGCATTATGATTTTTGATCAAAACAGTGAATACTGATTGACCTCATCTATTAAACATCCATCTCTTAGTCGCCCCGGCCTACTTGTCTCTTTGATTCCACAGTCAAAGTTGAGCCAAGGAGTGAAGTGAGAGCTTCAAAAGAAAACATGCATTGTATAGAACTGAATTCAGGTCAGCCGTCTGGCACGAGGTAAATCTTTCCCCAAACTCCATCAGAATGTGTAAGACCCGCAGAGTCAATAATAACCTCATTACGTCCCAGGCCGACGCGTGTGGATGATTGATGCGGCACAGCTCCAAGAGCGGAGCGGTCATTCCGCTGAACACGCCGTTATCAAAGATGGGAGAGAATCAACCCAGCAACAACAATAAAAAACACAACACAAGGATTGCACTATTGATTTCTGGATGGATTCCACTGTTTTATGTGATTACCGATTGATTCCGTGTCTCTGCCTGCAGGAATGTCCCCTAACCGGAATATGTTCCTCTGGACGTTTGGTATTTAACCTAACGTGCATGCACAGAAGAAGCGGATCCGTCACACCTCCGCCTGCATCTCTCACACCCAGACATCCCCATGACCCAGAACCTCAACGCCACCTGGGAGGGCTTGAGCCCTTCCAACTCCTCGCGGGCGCCGGAACCCCCCCCGACCCACCGCAACGTCACCTACGTGGCTTTCTACCTCCACGAGCCCGCGGTGGCTGCGGTCTTCACCGTCTCCTACCTGCTCATCTTCCTGGTGTGCATGGTGGGCAACGGCGTGGTGTGTTTCATCGTGCTGCGCAGCAGGAACATGCGCACCGTCACCAACCTGTTCATCCTCAACCTGGCCATCAGCGACCTGCTGGTCGGCATCTTCTGCATGCCCACCACTCTGGTGGACAACATCATCACAGGTCAGGATTGGTTTTGGACTTGGAGGTCTTTTTAGTGGAAAAGTCCTTCATCCATTCATGCCTTTAACTTAACTGTGTTGGTCCTGCAGGGTGGCCTTTCGGGAGCTTGGTGTGTAAGCTGAGCGGCACGGTTCAAGGGATTTCCGTCTCTGCGTCCGTGTTCACTCTGGTGGCGATAGCCGTCGACAGGTAAGAGCCGTGTAGGCCTTGACCGGCTTGTGTGAGACTTGTTTTTTCCCCCCCTGACGAGTTCCTCCAATGCCCTTTGCGTCAGGTTCCGCTGCATCGTCTACCCGTTCAAGCAGAAGCTGACCATCGCCACCTCCAAGCTGATCATCGTCGTCATATGGGTCCTCGCCGGGTGCATCATGTGTCCCTCTGGCGTCATGCTGCAGGTCACGAGGGAGCAGAGGGTGCGAATAGTGACCGGCAGCGACACCCGCCCGTTCTACTGGTGCCGGGAGAACTGGCCCAATCAGGAGATGCGTAAAATCTACACCACCGTCCTCTTTGCCAACATCTACCTCGCTCCTCTCAGCCTCATCGTCGTCATGTACGCCCGGATCGGCATCACCCTCTGCAAGACCACGATCCCTCAGGCGAGGGGCACCGGGAGCGTGTCCGATGAGGGCGGGGGCACCAACAGACCCGGCGTGGAGGGTCGCCACACTATATCCAAGCGGAAGAATCGGGTGATAATGATGCTGCTGATCGTGGCTCTGCTCTTCATCTTGTCCTGGCTTCCTCTGTGGACGCTGATGATGCTGAGCGACTACGGCAGCCTGACGGAGCACCAGCACCGCGTCATCAACATCTACGTGTACCCCTTGGCTCACTGGCTGGCCTTCTTCAACAGCAGCGTCAACCCCATCATCTACGGGTTCTTCAACGAGAACTTTCGCCGAGGCTTTCAGGCCGCTTTCAAATTCCAGCTGTGCTCCGAGGGCATCAGGCTCCAGAGGCCCTACTCCAATCGGATCCGAGGGAACGCCGTGGTGCCGCTGCAGCCGGCCGCCCTCAGTAGACGGAGCTCAGGAGTCGGGTCGGTGGGGAACGGGAAGGGCTCGCGTCAGGAAGGAGGGAGCCTGTCCGCTAAAAGTCATGTCAAAGAGCCGGATCTGATCGTAGAGGACCTGGAGAAGGTGTCCCAGATTTAGACGGAAACTGCACGGACACGTTCCAATGCTCGAAGGACGGTGATAATGACGAGGAGATTCGACACTGCCGAGCGGCCGTCTGTGAATCAGGGTCCGGCACGTTCGTCATCGTGACTCCTTCTGAAGCTATTGGTGAATGTTTGGTGCTGTGTACAAAGCAAATGACACGGTAAACAAGGGGAGTTCATTTGGTTTAAATCAGAGAGGATTCAATTTGAGGGCTTGTGTATCTTCGTTCCAAACAGACTCACGCTTGTTGTTCATTAAGTTTATCACAGCAGTCAGTATTATTTCTTTATGCCGCAAAGGCAAAGCTGGCTACCTGGCTAAAGAGTCGGAGACGCTACGTTGCTGTAATTTAATTTCATTCAATGTTCAATGAATGACAACGGCGAGAAGTACATTGTGTTCCGCTGACTGTGTGCGCCGGCCCGGTTGGAGGTCGTGAAGCGCCAGCAGCAGGTGTCGTGAGATCTGACGTGTTGCTAGGATTGTTGCTTGGTTCTTCCCACACTGTAAAAGCCCCACACTGTGTGTTCCAACCCTAATGAAAAGGATGTTGTTTGCAGGTGATGCAACGCCCGTGCCATTCAATGAATAGCAAAGTGGCGCCCTTCGTTTCCTTTGTTCAGAGGAGCACCGCACGCGACTCCCACTCCGGAGAGATTTCAAAGGTTTCAGCAATCTTTCAGTGTTTTCTGGCGATTCAGGAAACCGTGAAGATGAATGGCACAACTCTCGAGGCTCCTCCCGTCAAACAGCCGCACGTTGCCGCGCCTCGGGGACGATCGCGCCCGACGGACGGCCGTGACAAAAGGAAGAGGATCACAGGCTCATCATGAGAGGCCCCGTTACGCCCTCGTGTTCCCCGCTTCCTCCCGAGGCACAATCCAATTTTACCTCCAAAGAGACAGAGGCTGCGCTTATCGGCACACCGGCCCCTCACGTGTTAGCGTTCATTAGAAGGAAACTAGAGAAGAGGAAGTGGGCCGAGTGGAACCTCGCCGGAAAGCAAGAGCAGATAAGATGTGTACTTAGATATATAGGATGTTTAAATCACCATTAGAAAAGCCCCCAACCAACACTAGCAGGGCCCCATATGGTGCTTAGTGTACATGTCATAAAATGCATGTTGTTTTCTGGCTACTAGTGTTTGAGCCCCTTTTTTAAAATGTTGTACAGCCAAGAGTGGTCATCTTAAATCTTTAATAATAGATATTAATTATGTTTGGAAAATATTTGATTTTGCAGAAATTGTTGTATTACGACGTTATCAGTACATGATGTGTTTTTGTGCTGAAATCCTGTGGTGCCGCGCAGCAAGAAGAAGAAACTAGCAAACGAGATTGTTTAAAATGTATATTTGATTGAGTTTCCACGTGTTTTATGAATTCTTTACCTCAAGGACACACAAAGTGTGCTTTGGTCAGAGACACTGGACAAAAAAACACACTTTAAGACAATCCGCAAATACAAAATCATACAAGATTAAAAACAGGCAGCCATTAATTAAAAAATCAGCATATTTATAATACGGCGTTTCAAATCTTTGGTCTGGAAGGATGAAACTGTTGACAAAAGATCTTAGAGCGCTACAAGGGGGATGAGGCCTTTTAGCGGAGAACTTTCAAATCTATTTCACACCACGCGACAACAATAGATGCTTCTCTTAATAACTAATAACTAACTGGGACCACCTCATGTTATTCTCAACAACTCCATTTCTCCAATAGGAGATGGAAAGGAGAGTAGCTCAATGCTGGAGGCGTCATGTGTACGCAGTGTAATCAAAACCGCATCTATGGTTTTTAGATCAACACGATTATATTGCCGCTGCTTTTATTTTTGGTTCTTCTCCACTTTTTTCTATCACCTCAAAAGGGATCCAAGGAAATATAAAATGTTCCAAAGAAGAAAAAAAAAGTGCATGAATGCAAACAAATGTGTGAACCGCTGTGTCTTTGTACACGTGAATATACGTCTGTGATGGTATATTTAAACCCCCCTTTATGGCTTATTACATGCTGTGATATTTGTAATTGAAAAGAATATGGTCAATCACATCGTGCTGCCAATGCTGCTTGTTGCAAAAAGGAAACATCTGTCAGTTTGCTGTAATGAAAAATAAAAAGGAGCAGTTCCAAGACGCGTGTTGATTCTTTCTCCCACGTCTCCGTAGCCAGAGAACCAGTGCCTGTTATGGGAGAGAAAACCGACTGGGATTAGTTGAAAAATGTAATTTTAAGAGATTTACTTTCATGGTTTAGTCTCTTCCGTAAGGTTTCCTATATTTTATATTTCTTATCTAACAAACTTTTTTATTTACTAGTAATATATTAGAAAAGCTTGAGTGAGCATTTACCATAAAACCACAGTCACAATCCAGCTCAAGGGTTGATTGATGAGTGGAGAGTTTGGTTTCATTTTAGGGAAAGGGAAATGAACGTAAAGGCAAAGTAAATATAATAAAAGCGAACCAGGTGGAGGCCATTGGAGCCAAACCAGGTGCAACAAACTCCGCCCACAAAGCTGTTGAAGGAGGGGCCTGCTAACAGAAGTGTAGCTGCATTTCATCCGTTTTTTTTTTGTCAGCCACAGTGCATTTCTAGATGTAAAAATCTAATTGAAGACGAATGCATGCCCTGCAGCTGGGTTCACTGGGATTGAATGACGCAGGGATCAGAGAGGGAAAAGAAGTTCAATGAAGAGCGCGCTGCAACGTCAGCAACTCCGAAAAATATCTAGGACAGCTGGAGGAGAGGAGACGGGTTGCTTTGAAACAAACATGCACGATGGATGACGAGAAAAAAACTCCCGTTTTGAGTCCATGCAGACGTCTGCGTCGGCTCTCCGTCAGACGTAAATCAGAAATAAACGTTGTTCCCCGACCGAGACTGACAGGGAAACAGCAACCAGGTCAAATGTGATCAACTGATTTTAAAGGTGATTAGCAAAGTTAAATGTGTGTCCTATGGGTAAAGAGGAAATGGATTGTCCCCACAGATTAAAGTCACCTTCCTTCTGAGCACGCTAATCTCCAAAAAGCCATTAGCGCGTCAACCTTCACTAATTCCTCCATCCGCTCTCCTCCATTAGGTTTACGTGTCATTTCGTGTGCGATTGTCATCAAGAAGACATACGTGCCACTTTGTCTCCCTGACCTGTTTGCTGTTCAGCTGCCCCATTGTAAGCACTTTGTTAATCTCTGAACATCAGCCAGGAGCTTAATACTCCTCACACGCTGCGTCTCATCAACACCGCAAAACAGTGACTGTTTTATCCACATGACCCCCGGGAATAAGGCCCTGTAACCGCGGCCAAGTCGCTGTCAATATAAATGTACATTAACAGCATATATGCATGCTGCCAATAGACATTTCAGTGGGTTTTCCCCAATCACGCGGTGTTGGGCTGTGCTTCCTCTGCGGCCCCTTTGGCACTCAGAGGTCGCGTCACACACGCGGCCGGCGTGATCTCGGACCATGGCGCCACTCCAGTGTGAGTTTCTGTATTTGGAGCAAGTAAATGAAATGAAATGAATGAAAGGTGACACTTTGACAACACGTGCTCCACCAATAATAGGCACAATCAAACTCTTTTGCACCACCTATTGGCATGTTATCAAAAATACATATCAGATAAACCACTTAAAGCTGATAAATGATCCTCTCATGACTACTCTCCTCTCCTGAGTGTTTGACTGTCGTACTCTTACAAGTACTACAACAAGTATTCCTACTGCTACTATGCCAATGAGGATAAAAACTACCAACCGGGGGGACCTTTGGTGAGATTGAATGTGTTTAAGTGATTACGTTTTCAGGGATTGTCCGTACAATGATGCTCGACAAGAGAGTGAAGGAATGTATTTTTATGTTTTTAATTAGTTTTTGACACAAACTGTACAATATGTGGATCTACAGTAGCACAAGGGATGCACATGTTCAACTGCGGTACCCTTGTTAAGACCAAAACGTATTCCATCCAGAAACAGACACAAAAGTATAATTACTGGTATCTGTCGAGTCAAACTTCCACTAAGGTGTTTATCAAAGAAGAATCGTCTCTAAAGTCCCATTCAGAGATTTTACAGTGCTCATTTGTTCCCCGTCTGTTTGAAAAGCACCTTCCAGTGTGCTTCGATTCCTGAACACGTCAACAGCTTCAGGAGAGATTTACAAATGATCATCCAAGACCGATGAAGGCTTGTTTATACAATCAAATACATTGGTTAAAAACAGTCAGAGAAAACTGGTGTTTTACATCATATCTGCAGACACAACCACAAAGACTAGGGCAGATAAAATATAATAATATTAATAAAAGACCAGCTAAATGAAAAAGAGCAGCACCGTGTGCAGCAAGAAGCGTATTCAGTGAAATGAGTCACGTAAAAAAGGACGTATTGTTCCACGAGTGGCTCCCTTTGAGGGGTCCTTCCAGTCTTGTTTTCCGTTATTTTGCTTAGAAAATGGAGAAACCAATGCAAAGGGGAATGCTAGAGAATAGACACGAACCAGAAAACCCAACAGGAAAAAAAAACGCGGGACCTTCGTCTCAACCTTGGTCTTTTTGGGTGTTGTCCTCTAGATCCACATCACTGTCCAAATCACTGTGGAGCCTCTTGACCATGGTGCTTCTGCTTCTTCCCTCCTTATTTCCCTTTTTTAGCTGTACTGGTGATGGTTTCACTGTTTACAAAAACAGAGATCATGATGAGTTCATTTTGTGTCAAACAGTTCGACCGACCAGCGAAGAATCCTTTTAAAGATTTCATTTGTCTCACCATCTCATTATTGCTTCGCGAAAAAAAAAAGACCCACCGCTCCGGATGTTTGCATTTCTCAATCCTCACCTGTTGATGGAACAAATTGGTCTTCGGCTCCGCCGCCATTATCGCTGCGAGTGGCGCCAACCGCCTCTTTCTGTTCCTCGTCCGTGACGATTCGCTGTCTCGCGCTCTCGAAAACAGACTTAATCACAATCGAATCCTCATAGATCTGCAAAGGTAAACACGGACACGCACATAAAGAGCTCAGTGTGTTCCTCCCGAAATCAAGATTCAAACCCATTTACGACTACAATGACATTTGTTGTTCAAATTGCCTTAAAGGAAATGAAAGCCTTTCTTGGAGCTCACCTGAGATCCCTCCAGATTATATGTCTGAGCATTGTGACACAGGAGGAAGATATCCTTCTCCAAATCCCCCACGTTTCTGTACTTGTGATTACGTACACGTTCCTGTGAAGCAAAGGCTCAGTATCAAAACATCAGCATGACCACTGCAATAAATAATCAGCAATCAAGCTCGTCCAAGAGAGCTGTTCTTCTCTTGAAGTTGGTCCAGTGTTGTAATCACTCCATGCAATGTAATGTCTCCATGCAATATAATGTCTCCATGAAATGTAATGTCTCCATGCAATGTAATATCTCCATGTAATGTAATGTCTCTTTGCAATGTGATATCTCCATGGAATGTAATGTCTCCATGTAATGTAATGTCTCCATGCAATGCAATGTCTCCATGAAATCTAAAGTATGTATGAAATATAATGTCTCCATGCCAGTGTAATGACTCCATCCTAGTCTAATGTCTCTATGTAATGAAAGGCTCCTTGCAATAAACGACCACCTTGGAATGGAATTGTTCGCTCGCATGTATATGTCTCCATGCCATGGAAGTTTGCTGTCCAATGGAAGAGAAGGGTGCAAAACACTGTGCTCCTCAGATCCCAATGTAATTGCACAAATGCATTGCTGCCAACGTAATGAAACTTTCGTTCCCCCCATATAAGTTTTCGACCTTTCAAGGGAATACCTGCAAAGTCAATGGATCTATTCAACCAATACATACCATGCATAGGTTTTGTTGTATTCCGAAAATTGCCCAATCCCAGGCAAGACCCCCCGCGGAAAAGATCAGCTCGCGTAGGGATAGGCCTCCCAATTAAATGTCTCCCTCCCCCGACAGGAAGGGAGTGTAGGGAGAAATGTCCAT